GCTGGCATGGGAGGGGCTGGAGGGGCCAAGTCTGAAAACGGATGTGAAGGGTGGGGCCTGGACCTACCCCCTCCCCTCTCAGGTGGCCCAGGTTTGGCAGGCGGGAGGGGGTGGTGTCAGTGGAACCTTGGGCTTTGGCACTCTGATGCCACTCTTGTCTTGGGGACTGCAGGAGTAACTCGGGACCACTGTCTCCTTTCCCCCTCCAGAGGACAGTTATCTCCAGCAGTTCCTCTCCAAAGACCCCTGTTTCCAGATCTCAGATAAGGTCAGGGGGCAGAGGGCAGGTAGAGGCAGGGGGCTCACTTGGGGAGAAGGTTGAATTCTGCCACTTTATTGGGGACCCCAGGTCTAGACAAATGTCCCTGGGTGGTGCAAATTGTTTACACTTGACTGCTAACCTAAAGGTTGGTGGTTAGAACCCACCCAGTGGCGCTATGGAAGAAAGGCCTGGCAACCTGCTTCCATAAAGATTACAGCCAAGAAAACCCTATGGAGCAGTTCTACTCTGTAACATAGGGGGTCGCCATGAGTCAGAATCAACTTCGATGGCAATGGGTTTGGGTTTTTTTGGTTTTGGTCTGATGGGGGGGAGCAGTCTTTTCTTCCACCCACCAAAATTTCCTTGGGTGCAAAGGGCCTGGCCCCTAGTCCTCCCCTTCTCCTCCCCACTGACCTCTAACCACCATCCCTCTGTCTCTCTGCAGTATCTCCTGGCCATGGTGCTGGTTTATTTCCGGCGTGCCAACCTGCAGCTCAGCGAATACACCCACAGCAGCCTGTTCCTGGCACTGTGAGTGAGGGTGGGGGTATGTGGAGAGACTTGCTGAGAGTTGTAGGATAGGACAGGACAGATGCTATGGCCTCTGCTCCCTGACACCATGCCCCTGTGATCAGGTACCTTGCAAATGACATGGAGGAGGACCTGGAGGACCCCAAGTGTGAGATTTTCCCGTGGGCACTAGGTGAAGATTGGCGTCCTCGAGTGGTAGACTTCCTGCGCCACAGGGACCAGCTGTGGGCCCGGATGGGCTTCCGGGCCGCCGTGAGCCGTCAGTGCTGTGAGGAGGTGAGGCCTGGTGACGTACTTGGGTGGAAGAAAGAGGCTGGGCCTGCCACCTCACTGACAACCCGCTCCCCTCCTCCCAGGTCATGGCAAAGGAGCCGTCCCACTGGGCCTGGACTCGGGAGCGGCGCCCCCACCATGGGGACGCTCAGAGGGGCTTCCCAGAGGCCCTGGTGTCCCTGCCCAGGGGCCCTGGGCTCTCACCTCCCTACTGCTCCCTCTGTGGCTTGCCCCCATGCAGCCCCCCGCCCACCTTGCCTGTCTCCTCTAAGTGTTCCTCTCTGACCCCTGTGTGGCATCACCCTTCCTCTCACACTTGTCTCTCAGTGGCCGAAGACCCCTGGGGTGGGGGCTTCCTCATCATCCTGCCCCCCCAGCTTCACCTGGAGCCAGGCACCTACGCCCTCCACAGTGAGTGGGGACAGGGGCTGGGGGGCAGGAACGGCAGGATGGGGGAGGGGCACGTGGGCCCTCCCAGCTGCCTGAGCTTGTCACCTGACAGGCTTCCGCTCTGAGTCTCAGCTCTGTCCTTCTCTGCCCAGTTCTCCCAGAGCCTCCACTATGCCCTGGGCCCTGACGCTCTGTGCAGCGAAAAAGCAGCCACCTGCTCATCTGCTGACCCGACGCTCCTCTGGCTGTGGCCCCCGGGCCTCCTGTCTTGTTGGCCTCAGACCCCCTGCCCCTTTCTCCCAGCCTGCAACTTGTACCCACTCTGGCCCCGGTCCCCTCGAATAAACTCGTGTCCACAGGACACCAACTGTGCTTAGGCCCTGGCCTGGCTCCTTGACCCAGGGCAGCGGGAGGGAGGAGGTGGATGGGAACGGGGATCTGCCAGGGTCAGGCCTGTGCCCCTTCCCATGGGTGTGACCTGGGCCAGTTTTCATCGTCCTGAACCTGTTTCCCCTCTAAAACATCTATCACCTATGGATGATGGCAGCGTGGATGGAATTCAATGAGGTGTATGTAGTGCTTAGGAGAGGGCCTGGAAACTATTTTTTTTTTTTTTTAAAAAAAAAAAGCTCCAGTGGAAAACAGCTCTATAGTCAAGCTAGAAATCTCTTCCGGTCTGTCTAGGGATACAACTGGGCCCCTGCCCTGGGCTAATGTAGTATTAAATACAACCCTCCCTCCCCCCCCCCCCCCCCCCCCCCAGAAGAAAATACTGAATGGAAACCCAGAAGAGTGAATTTCTTGTTCATGGGGGGCAGGGAAGGCTTCCCAGAGGAGGTGGTATTTCAACTGGGCCTTGAACAATGTCCAGTTTGCCCATGGAGGGCAGGGGAAGGATATTCTTGGAAAGACAGTTTAGAGAAGTGATTAACACTTGCTTCCTGGAGCCAGACATAAACTCAGCATGTTACTTAATCTGTCTCACTGCACCACCCTTGCCTCATCTGTAAAATGGGTATTATACTAAAGTGGGTGTTGTGAGATTTGAGTGAGTGAATATGCAGAAGGGCTTAGAGTGGCATCTGGCGTGAATGGACACTCAGATGTGGGCCGTGGATGTCTCTGGAAGAGGGAGCTGCTGCCCCACAGGAAGGCAAAAGCGGAGGTTTGGGGAGGGGCTGGAACAGGAGGTGAGAAGGCTGGAGGAGAATCTGGTCAGGTAGTGGAAATCAGGTCAAGAGTCCCCTTCCTGGTTTGTAAGCGCTCCCCAGGGGCACGGGGGTAAGAAAGCCTGGGGACAGAGGACATTAAGAGCCAAGACAAGGACTAAAAGTATTTTTAATTTGTTTTTCAAATATTCACACATACATTTTGAATTTTGAACCAAGAGTCACCCTCCTTCTCCTGATCTCCAACTATCCGGTTTTTCTCCCCGGAAGAAATGAGAGTAATAGTTTTTTATGTGCTTCAAAGAGTCTAAAACATAACCAAATATGAAATTATTAATACTGAGGTGAAATTAACCATCGTAAAGTGCACAATTTAAGGGCATTTAGTACCTTCACAATGTTGTAAACCACCACCTCTCCCTAGTTCCAGAACATTTTCATCACCCCCAAATAAAACCCTGCACCCATTTCTCCCTTCCCCAGTACTTGACTCTGGATTTGCCTTTTCTAGACATTTCACGTAAATGGAATCCTACAGTATGTGGCCGTTTATGTTTGACTTCTTACGCTCAGCGTAGTATTTTCAAGGTTCATCCATATCATAGCATATTCAGTATATTCATTCAGTATTCTTTCCTTTTTATGGCTAAATAATACTCCATTGTAGGTATGTACCACATTTTGTTTATCCATTCATCTGTTGAGGGCTAGAAGGTTTGCGAAGGTGACTGTGGGATGATGGGACAGGGGGATGAGCCAGAGGGCTCTGAGGGGAAGGCTGGCCTTTGCTCCCTCTGAGTGCATCTTTCTTCTCCCGGTCCTCTGCTCCTCTGATCCAGCCACAAAGAACTTGCAGTTCTGCTTACTGGCGCGTGCTCACTAACTTTCTGAACCTTTGCCAGTGCTGTTCTTTCTGCTTGGGACACCCTGCCCAGCACCTCCTTGCCTGGTTAACTCCTACTTGTCCATCAACTCAGCTTCCTTAATCGCCAAAACTGGGCCTGGAGAGCCCCCTCCCGCAGCAGCGGCTCCTCTGCCTTAGTCACAGTTCCACGTGCCATGAAGGGCTGAGACAACGTTGGATGCATGCACCCTGGTTCCGGCCCTGACTCACCAGGTGAGGCAGCTCAGGCAAGTCACACCACTCTGGGGCCCCAGTCTTCCTCATTTGTAAACTGAGGGGGGGGGTCAGATTAAATCAGTGATTCGTAACCTTTTTGGGGTCGTAGATCCTACGAGCCTAGGAAAACTATGGGCTGCTTCCCCAGCAAAATGCTGGGTGCATATCCAATGAGGGCTGTAGCTGCTGCAGGGCCGCGGACCCCCAAGGCGGGTGGAAAACCCTGAGCTAGGGACCTCCGCAGCACCCCCCCCCCCCGCAAGACTTACTGCAGCTCAAGCGGCAGGATCCCCAGGTCCTGGGTGGGCCTGCTGTCCTGCTCGCTGCCTTTGCCGCCTCCTCCTGAGTAAGGCGGCATATAGGCGCTCCCAGGTGGGTGAGCAAAGGGCGTGGGGGAGAAGGCAGGGATGCCCACCTCGCGGAGTTTCCGGCCTCCAGAACCGCCCGAACGCCAGAGAAAGGCGGGCTGGCACAGTAGCTCGCTGCACGAACAGGGGGCCCACGACCGAGAAGGGCAGGGACTTACCCAAGGTCAAGCAGCAAGCCCCGGCCCGGAGGCCTTGTTTCCCGCGCCCCGCGGGGACGCCCGGAGCCGCTAGGACCGGGGCGGGGAGGCGGCCTGTCTGGAGCCGGACTGCGGCGGGTGGGGCTGCCCTGCGCGGGGCGGCCGGCAGGGTCCGCTCGCAGCTGCAGCAGCCCGGGGAATCTCGGCCCCGCGCTGGGGGTAGAGGACAAGGACGGGGACAGCTGCCGGCGCGCCCGGTGCGGGGCCGACCGGGGTGCGCTCAGGGTGGGGCCGGCCCTGCAACTTGAGCCTCTGACCCCGGTTAAAAATACCCCTGCCTGCCCTCGCCCCTCCCCCGCGTGCCCTCTGTCCCGGCCCCTCCCCAGGGACAGCTCTGCTTTTTGCTAATTTGTCCTCTCGCGGAGTTGGCCCCTGGCTTGCGGAGGAAGGGGCGGGAGCCACCGGGAGTAAAAGAGATAGTCCAAGACGGTGCCCGGGAGATAAGGACTCGAGGGGAGGAAGTGGGGCTAGGGCCCCGGGAGGCGGAGGAGGGAGAAGGAGGGGAAAATGTGGTATATGA